CGCCTTGGTAGGGGTTTTTGGGTTTTAGAGGGTGAAGGGTTTGGGGTTTAGGGTTAGGGTTTGGGGTTTCGGGTTTAGGGTTAGGGTTTGGGGTTTCGGGTTTGGGGTTTAGGGTTTCGGGTATAGGGCCTCGAGGGTTTAGGGTTTATGGGGTTTATAGGGGTTTATAGGGGTTTATAGGGTTTATAGGATTTATAGGGTTTATAGGGTTTATTGGGCTTATAGGGTTTACAGGTTTTATAGGGTTTATAGGGTTTATAGGTAGGTTATTCGGCTTGAATCCTTTGTTTTGTCCCTGCGGGCAATATATAAATCCCTCTCGAAGCTTGTCCCTACTGTTTAATGAGCCCTAGCCTCTTAAACCCTTTGACCGTAAACTTGGTGAGGGACCTTTGGGGTTAGTTGGGGGTTATTGAGGGGCTAGTTAGGAAAATGGGGACCATAGCAGGTGTATATATATATATATATACATATAGGGGATTTCCCGGGGAATAAGATTCTGGGTCCCTTCTGACCCCTTCAGCCCTTTCCTAGCGGCAGGCGGTGGTACATCTCACCATTCCTGCGGGCGCTGCAGCCAGGGCCCCTGTAAAACGTGCGAGCTTAGGGCGAGTGTAGGGTTTAGGGTTAGGGGTTTAGGGTTTAGGGTTTAGGGTTTAGGGTTTAGGGTTTAGGGTTTAGGGTTGAGGGTTTGAGGGTTTGAGGGTTTGAGGGTTTGAGGGTTACAGGTTTCAGTGCGACAGGGTTTAGGGCTCGGAGGGTGAGGCGTTTAGGCCATCACCCTGAAGGCCCCAATCGATTTTAGGGTTTAGGGTTTCGGGTTTAGGGTTTAGGGTTTAGGGTTTAGGGCAAGGCCTCGGTGGGATGGCCTGGGCGAAAAGTGGCTGGAGGTCGCACTTCTCAGGTACTTAGAACCTTTCTTTTGCAGGTCGAGAAGGTTTGGAGAAGAACCCTACACCCGAAACCCCAAAGGAAAATGGTTGGGGGCCCATCTTAGATAATTAGAAACCCTTTGTGCAACTCCCCAACTACGCTAGGGGACCACTTTCAAGTCGCCCTCAATCCAGGGGCTCTGAGAGGGTTTAGGGTGTAGGGTTTAGGGTTTAGGGTTTTGGAACCTATGCCCTAAACCCCTAAACCCTACACCCTATAAGAACCACTGGATTGAGGGTGACTTGGGACTGCGAAGTGTTGTTGACATGCTTGTCCTCCCCCCCTACGCCGATCACAAGGGAGGAAAGTGGACACCGTTGCGGCCAACTTCAATGCAAGTGCATGGCGCCCCCACTCCAGCTTTAGTTGACACGATGGCCCGAGCAGCCTGCGTTGTCGATTCTTGTTGCCTTCCACACCCCAGCTACTGCAATGACCTGCCCAGCGTGAGTGGTGGCTTTTGTCACGAAATCCTAAAAAGAAACTTTTCGGAGTTGCACAGGGCTTCTAACATCTTGTAAGATGCCCCCCCCCCCCTCTCTTGTTCCCTGGTTCCCCTGAAGTTTCGGGTCTCGGGTGGGTTTGGGGTTTGGGGCTTAGGGTCGTTCAAGCGGCTCCGCAGATTTCAAGAGGGTTCAACCCAGGGGTCCGAGATAGAGTCCCAGTTGATGTCGCTGGGGATTTCGGTTGCCCAAGGGCCCTGAACCCTGTAAACCTGCTGTAACTCCTAGAAGCGCTATAGAAGCCCTTTTAAGAAACCAACCAACAAAAGCGTATGGAAACCCTATAAAAAAACTCAACAAAGTCTATGAGCCCTGTAAGCCCTCTAAGCGGTATAACCCCTATACACCCTACATACCCATACACCCTACAAACCCGATAAACCCTCTAAAGGCAAAAACCCTAAGCCTAAACCTTATAAGCCCTAAATCCAAAAGGACCGCAGCCTATGCGCTCTCTCCGCTACGGCGCTGGGCTGAAGAGCGCAGTGAGAGTTTGCAGTTGCGGGTGACGCCACAGGCACAGTGCGACTGAGGGTTGAGGGGTTAGGATGGTTTGTTGGGGGGTGGGTGGCGGGGGGGGGGGCTAAGCATTGTTGTAGTGGACATGGGAGTTTGTAGCAGTCGAGTTCGGAACTTCTACATCTGTAACACTGTGGTGGTTATTATTGGTACTTTATTCGTTTGATCATTTTTTTGGATGGTTAAATCACTAACACAATGCCGGACAACATGTTGAACCTGCAGTCCCCTAAGAAAGTGGAGCGCGAGGCAAAACGCGAAAGGACTAAACCCTAAACCCTAAACCCTAAACCCTAAACCCTAAACCCTAAACCCTAAACCCTAAACCCTAAACCCTAAACCCTAAACCCTAAACCCTAAACCCTAAACCCTAAACCCTAAACCCTAAACCCAACTGAACTCATGACAGCAGCCACAGCCGGGAGGCCAATGAGATCATCCAATCCTCGATGTCGCCGCCACCTTGGATCTGGGGGGGGGGGGGGGGTTAGGGTTTAGGGTTTAGGGTTTAGGGCTTAGGGTTTAGGGTTTAGGGTAGGTGCCCTGAACAACCCCAAACCCTATAACCCAATCCATACAGCCGTTAACCCGTTAGCCCCATGAGCCTACAATCCCAAACCCCATAACCGCACATCAACAAAACAAAAGAATGAAAAGCATAAACAAGCTTTAAGCCCTAAACCCCAAACCCGAAACCCTAGACCCTCCACCCTAAATCCTAGAAGCCCTTAATTCCCCAACGATGATGTGGCAACCCGGTCGTCCGAGGCTGGACTGCCAGGGCAAGAAAGGCAACGTGGGCTTTAAGGTGGCCGGGGTCTGAGCAGGCCCTGGTTGAGTTTTAGGGTTGAGGGTTCAGGGTTTATAGGGTTTAGGGTTCAGGGTTTATAGGGTTTAGGGTTTAGGGTGGGAAGCTTGGGGTTCTGAGTTGAGGGGTTAGGGGTGTTCAGGACTCAGGGTTTAGGGGTTTAGGCCCGAGCTGGAAGATTTTCGGGCTCACCGGGCTTTGTGTTTCAGGGCTCAGGTTTGGGGCTTAAAGGGCTGTGTGGAATCCAGGGCTTCAACTCAGGGTTGATTTAGGTGTTAGAGGTGTGGGGTTTAGGGAGGGTGTCGGACTCATCTAAGGGTAGTCACATGGTCCCTTAAAAAGGTCCCCTACCTTCGTTACAGGCTTCTGATGTATGGGCGTTGGGTCGTATAGGATATGTAAGGTGGGGTATCTCTGGGGTCCTCCTTTTACGGGCCTATATCAAGGGGACCATGTAACTACCCTAAGAGACGGTTCGCATTCAGGGTTGAAATCCGAGGGTTGAAATCCGTGTCACGTATTAGCGACTCTAGGCCAAGAATTTCACTATGAAGCTAAACCCTAAACCCTAAACCCTAAACCCTAACCCTAAACCCTAAACCCTAAACCCTAAACCCTAAACCCTAAGCCTAAAACCTAAACCCTAAGCCCTATACAGTGCCGAAGCGACTCCGTAGCAAGTTCCCTAGGCGAAGCCCAGACACAGCGGCGATGGCGCATTTCACATTTTCCCTTCTACCGGGTTTAAGTGGATTAAATCCTCAAAGCCTTTGGGGGGATTAGGGCTAGCCCTAAACCCTAAATCCTAAACCCTGTAGGGTTTAGGCTGTAAGGTTTAAGGTTTAGGACAGCTTGAGTTGGCTCTCGGCTTGTCAAGGTCACGCGCGCCGTCAGCAAGCTGGCCGAGATCTTGGAAGAAGAGGAGGAAGATCCCTTGGTGAGTCAGGCCGAAATCAGCTTGGGCTTTGAATTGCGAGGTTGGGTGAGGGTGCATGGGACATGCGAGATCCTGTGGCGCAGACTTGGCGGTCTCGGTGGCAGTGCCAAACAATACTTGCCCAAAACAATTAGACTAAAGCCTAAACCCCTCAACCCCAAACCCCAAACCCCAAACCCTAAACCCTTAACCCTAAACCCTAAACCCTAAACCCCTAGACCCTAAACCCTAAACCCTAAGCCCTAAACCCTAAACCCTAAACCCCCCCCTCCCCCCCACCCAAATCTTCAACTCCAAATGCGCAGCTGTGACCTGTCCAAGAGCGTTGTAGCCGTTCCGAGCACTGCGCTGGGGCAACCTGTGCCCGCACTGGGAGCCCTTTGCTTAGGGTTATAAAAACAAGGTTTGGGTTTGAGTTTAGGGTTTAGGGTTTAGGCTTGAGGTTCAAGGTGTAGTTCGAGTTCAAGTTGTATGGGTTCAAGATGTAGGGTGTAGGGCTCAGATTCAGGGTTCAGGGTTCAGGGTTTAGGTTTTGGGGTGGAGGGATCCGGGTGTTGGGTTGAGGCTCACCCCCCGTAGACCCCAAAGAATTTGGGCTACCGAGATCTAGGAGGCCAAGAGGGAGTCGTGCTCACTCTCGGTGTGAACCTACGGAAACTTCATGGCCCCTTACTCTTTTGCCTTACCTTAAGGGGGCCCTGAAGTATGGGACCAGGGAACTGATGCTGGAAGTCGCAGCTGTGGGCTTAAGGGTTCCGGCGAGACCCTGGACCTCTTGCCTCCCTGAAACTACAAACTTTCAACCCCCTCAAAATTGCGAAACGTGGCTTGACAGGTTTTTTTGGGCTTCTGGGACCTGATTGGGTTTAGGGTCCCTTATAAACCCCCCTTGAAACCAAAAAGGGCACCCTTTTTGTTTCTTGGTTACTCCTGGGTCTAGCCCTAAACCCTGAACCCTAAACCCTACACCCTAAACCCTAAACCCTGAACCCTAAACCCTACACCCTAAGCCCTGAATCGAAAGGCCTTGCGGCTTGAGAGCTCTCGGGCTTGGGGCCTGAAAGGTTTCGGGGTTTTGGGCTTTCAGTAGTACAACCCGAAGCGGGTTTAGGGTTTAGTGAGAGAGACCTGGTTCAGGACATGGTTTTGGGCTTTGGGTTTAGGGTAAAAACTCACAAAAAGATTACAAAAAACAACGGTTCAGGGTTTCAGGTTTAGGGAACCCTGAACCCTAAACCCTAAACCCTAAACCCTAAACCCTAAACCCTAAACCCCAAATCCTTCAAAGGATCTCTGGGCCATGTCATTGCGGCTGTGCGGGGCATCTCTCATCGCCGCGCTGGCGGCGTTGTCTCTAAAAGGCGCTGCACGGGGGCGTTGCGGGTTTAGGGTTGCGGGTTTAGGGTTTAGGGTTTAGGGTTTAGGGTTTAGGGTTTAGGGTTTAGGTTTGAGGCTTTAGGCTTTAGGCTTTAGGCTTTAGGCTTTAGGGTACTTAGCCAATATTTGACTTTTTAATTCTTTGGGTTTCACGGTTTCCTTATTAGGTATAGGAACAATAGTATTTGACCTATTTTGATCCTTTGTTATCGGAGAAGTAAGCTAGTGTTTCCCGGGCGTCTGGGATGTAGAGGGTTTAGGTCTGGGCTGAAGTCTGCGAATTGGGGTCCTCAACGGGCTCCCATCCATGAAGGTCCCCTTCGAAGGGTACTGTCTACAAAAATATTTCCTCCCAACCCGGATTTCCAAAAGGTTAAAAGGGTTTGGGGTTAGGGCCCCAACACCCCCCCCACCCCACCCCCCCCCCCCGCCCCTCAACTCCTCACCGACACCGACAATGTTTTTGGGCCTGTTTGTTAGATCAAAGGCAGAAACCACAGGGTCTGTGAATGGTGTGCCACATGTCGTCATGTCTATATGGTGACCTGGTAGTTCTATGGTCCCTCAATATGGTCCCTTACCTTCTTTCAAAGGGTTCTACGTATGGACCCTTGGGTTCTTCGGGTTTTCAAGGAGCATACCAGGGGTATAATGGGTCCCGCTTAAGGGCCCCTTTTATAAGGGATCATGTAACTACCCTTAGACTAGTATAGTGTGGTTGCTAGGCTGGTGGCAGATGAGATGCCCTGCAACAACGATAAGCCTCCTAGAAGAGGCTAGACACTACTAGGCCCCCTCCCTCCTCTCGACAGGCTGCAGTGACGACAGCAACCCAGCCAAGGACGGCGACGGCTTTGGTTCCAGGGAAGAAGGGAAGGTTGTGTTTTTTTTCTCCGCTGCAGGCAGGGTTTAGCTTTTGCCCTCCCCCCCCCCCCCCCCCCACCCACCCACCCACCCCGGTGGTGGTTCTGAAGATAGGCGTTGGGGTTTCGAGTTTGGGGTTGACCTGATATCCAGAAGGCCCTCAGTTTTGAACTAGCTAGAGGTAGTCTGTGCAGTCCTTGGTTTCAAGGTTTAGCCCGTTTCCGAGATAAGATGCCCAAACTGAACTGAAGGGTTTTGGGTCGAGTCTCGGAGGTTCATGGGTAGATGCAAGTACAGTTTAAGCACCTCAGAGAGGGCTAACCCTAAACCCTAAACTCTAAACCCTAACAAGTCGCATCTAGAGCTGCCCCATGAGCCGACCAGGAGAAGGCCCACACCATCACGCTGCGGAATGGCGTAAAGATGCCCATCCTGGCAGCAGGTGCGGCCGGTTTAGGGTTTAGGGTTTAGGGTTTAGGGTTCAGGGTTAAGGGTTTAGGGTTTAGGATTCAGGGCTTCGGGCTATTGAGGGCTTGTAGGGCGTAGGGAAGCGCGTGGGCAAACACACTTGTACATGTATACCTAACGACAGGACTTTAGAAAATAGGCAAAGGGTGTCAAATAGGGTTGCCCCTCCTGCTTGAGCTTCCACCAGGAACTTGGCAGTACAACGACTCTGTGGCGGAGCAGGTGGTGGTAGATGCGTTGAATTCTGGGTTCTCGCACATTGACACCGCGTACGACTACGACAACCAGGCGAGGCTCACGCTGTGAATGAGGGCAGCTACTTGGAGGTTCACGGTACTTAGTATTAGGAACCCATTACAAGTGCAGTTGTAACCACATTTAAGCCCGTTAAAGTACCCCAAGAGGGCTATAATTGGGTGATAAGTACAGTTATGATTGGGTTACTAAGTACCATGAACCTCCAAGTAAGTTGCCACACAATGAGTCTGGAAACCCCAAGCAGTCCAGCGACAAGCACTCGCTTTAAGCTTGACAACCCTCAACTACAAGACCTTGCATCTGAGTTCTTACCCCTCGTCCGACTCATGGGCACTTATAACCCCACTTCTAAGTCTACTTATAACCTACTTGGGGGACTTAGGGGGTTGATAAGTACAGTTGTAATTGGGGTTATAAGTGCCCATGAACCTCCAAGTAAGCCTAAACCCTAAACTCTAAACCCTAAACTCTAAACCCTAAACCCTAAACACTGAACCCTAAACCCTAATCCCTAATCCCTAAACCCTAAAACCTAAACCCTAAACCCTAAACCCTAAACCCAGTTCATGAGTGTCAGGTCGGTGTGGGCAAAGGCCTCAAGCGGTCGGGCAAACCGCGCCATTCCATCTTCGTCACCACTAAGGCAGGGCAGAGGTTAGGGTTTAGGGTTTAGGGTTTAGGCTTTAGGGTTTAGGGTTTAGGGTTTAGCGGTTAGGGTTGAGGGTTTAGGGTTCGGAAACCCTTGGGGATTCGTGGACGTGCCTTGCGCCCCCAAAACCCTAAATTCAATACCCTAAACCCCAAAAAAATCCTCGGAGGGTTCAGGGTTTCGCAGTCTCGCGTTGTTGTCATGTTTGAGAGCGTCCCAGTCGTGTATGTAACCGTGAGTGCGTCGTGTCAGCCAGCAGAGCTGATCAGGTTGTGCATGCTGCTGCTTTTCTGGCATTCCCCACTCAGCCCAGATGGAAAAAAAAGGTTTAGGCGGCTCTAGTTTCAGTTGCTGCGGGGGGAGGGGGAGGGGCCCAGAGAACCCTAAACCCTGAACCCTAACTTAAAAGGTGCCAGACATGTAGGGGTTGGGGGGAGGGAGGGAGGGGAGGGTTTTGTTGGGGGTCATCTTGAATAGACTTGTCAGAGTTGAAGCGCTTCAGGGCCTGGTGTAGGGGTTATTTAGGGCTTATCTGGGGGTTAGGTATAGGGTTTAGGGTTTAGGGTTTTGGGTTTGGGGTTTAGGGTTAAGGTATGTATGGGGGTTAGATTACTTCAGGGCTTAGGATGTAGGATTTAGGGTTGCACGAGGTCCCAGGCTGCGGCATCCAGAACAGCAGCGGCGTGAGCGTGGATGTCTGCAAGACCCAGACAGTGGACAAGATTGCCGCTTCGAGGGTTATGGTTTAGGGTTTCGGGTTTAGGGTTTAGGGTTGGACGGTTAGTCGGGGAGAGGGGGTGGGGGGGGGGTGGCTTATGTCCCTAAGGGCCCATGCACCTACATAGTATATACTTGGGCCCTAAAGCTACTATATAGGGACCCCTCTGTAAGGGGCCCAAGTACATACGATATGGGCAAAGCCCTAACGAAACCGTAAACCCTCAACCCTAATGAAACCCTGAACCCTCAACCCTCCGGCTTCCGCCGAATCTTCTCCGCTACGCTCGCCACGTTGAATCACCTTCTTAGGGTTTCTTGGTTTAGGGTTTAGGGTTTAGAGTTTAGGGCTTAGGGTCTAGGGTTGATGGTTTGCGCCTGGGGTTTTCGGATGTTCTTCGCAGCTATGTCACGGGGCTGTCGGTGTACAGTTAGTGTGTGGAAGCTCGAGTATATAGCCCCTAAACCCTAAACCCTAATGTGCAAAGGCAAACGTCAGGCTTTCGGAAGGCTTGCACAGCAATCAGTGTCCTAGGCAGGCAAGTTTTCGAGTTGAGAGCTTCGCTGAAGCATGCCCCGGGCGCCTCGTCCTAAACCAAACCCTGTGAACCCGTACTTAGTACCCCAATTATAGCTGCACTTAGAACCCAATTATAACCCTACTTGGTTGGGTACTTAAGGGGCTTTTGTGTGGGCGATAACTATAATGGGTTACCAAGTACCCCAAACCTCCAAGGAAGCCCCTAAACCCAACCCACCCCACAAGCCCCGGGGAGGTGCTCAAAAGCAGACGAACACGCTTGCCTGCAGGTCCCAATTCGTTCACACTCTTCATAAACCCTGTAAACCCTAAACCCTAAACGCCTGAAACCCTAAAGCCCTAAAACCCCAACCTTGAAACCCTAAAATCCTATCAACCCCTAAACCACTAAACGCTAAAACGCTCAAACCCTAAAACCCTAAAACCCTAAAACCCTAAAACCCTAAAACCCGAAACCCTAAACCCGAAACCCAAGCCAAGGAGATGGACCTGCAGCAGCTGAACTTGTCCTACCTGGACATGGCCCTCTTCTCAGAGCTTGTTTGTTTATGGTTTCGGGTTTCGGGTTTCGGCTTCAGGGTTTAGGGTTCAGGGTTTAATACCAGCAGAAGTGGGTTTAGGGTTCAGGGTTTAGGGCTTTAGTTCTAGGAGTCAGAAGGGGAGGTTTGTTCCAGGGTTTCGGAGTCATATGAGGTCTGTAGTTGGGTTTCGCGAGCACACATGGCACCTATTGGTTTAGGGTTTAGGGTTGAGGGTTTAGGGTTTTGGGTTTAGGGTTTAGGGCAACTGTTTTGTTCACTCTTCGTTCTTCTTCATGGGGACTTCTAATCTTCTAGACGCATCAGTTTGATTAACAATGGTTGTTGGAAGCTGTTTGCTCATTCTCCTCTTCAGCGCCCAGGGAATATGCGAATGAGTGAAACGGACTCTCTTCACGGGATTGTAATGCTAATTTACTAGCCCGTATTTTACGGCTATCAGAAGAACAGTCCTTTAACTTTGTGTAAGCGCGGGCTCGCTGTCTTAAATTTATACTATGCCCGCGGATTCACTATTGTTTTGTGAAAAACAGCCCAGGGAAGAATAATACGTTGTTAAAAAAGAGAAACAGCACTTTAAAGGGCCTTTTAGTAACCCTAAACCCTAAACCCTCAACCCTCAACCCTAAACCCTAAACCCTAAACCCTAAACCCTAAACCCTAAACCCTAAACCCTAAACCCTAAACCTCCCTCCTTCCCTTATTTTAACGCGGCATGGCCATGGGCCAAGGTGCTCATCCACTTCCCTCCTTGCCCGGGCGAAGATGGAACACATAAAAGCCCTTCTGAGTCGTCATGCTGCTCGCATGCTGCGGTTGAGGGTTTAGGGGGTTTAGGGTTTAGGGTTTAGGGTTTAGGGGTTCGGGGTTAGGGGGGTTAGGGGGGTTAGGGTTTATGGTTTAGGGTTTAGGGGGCTGGCGTCAGGGTTGAAGGGGCTTAGCTTTCAGACTTCAGGTGGGCCTTTCGGGCCTTATGCCTAAAGCCATATAACCCTAAAGCTCGGATGGTTAGGGTTTAGTGTTTAGGGTTTAGGGTTTAGTGTTTAGGGTTTAGGGTTTAGGGTTTAGGGTTTAGTGTTTATAGGGTTCAGGGCTTTCGTTTACTTAGCCTTCTGTGGCACAGCCGGCGTTGGGACAAGCTGTAATTACCCAACAAACCCAAGCCAATCGCGGGGGTGGGGCATGTGCGTGCATTGGGGTGCTCTGCACCTCTTAGGGATACTTGGAGCTTTTTGTTTTTTTTTGTTTTTTTGTTTTTAACATTTTTGGGCACTTTAATTCCCAAGAAACAGCTAAGCATATGTTTATGCTTGGGTTCCTGGTTAGGTACCAGCTAAGGGTTTCCCTCGGCTGGAGGGTCGGCGTCATGGTCTCTTAAGGAATTCCGACATTCAGACTTGTACCCCTAAGGTTGTACCCCTAAAGCTTCTGCACCCAGTTTCATGAGTACTTGAGACTCTTCCCCTTAATATACCCCGAGACCCAAGGCTACAACCTTAAGGGGTCCCAGGTAGAACCCCAAAGTCTCATCTTGTTTTCAGGCCTGTTTAGGGGACAGAAAAACTGTTGAGTGAGATGCCAAAATTTTGAGTCCTGGAGTTGTTTGGGATGCTGACAAAAGGTAAATGGTGGTTCCCAAATTAGGGTACCTTATTGAGGTTCTTAGTATAAGGGAAGCCTCCTGTTTAGGGGGGGGGGGGGGGGGGGGGGGCTGTTTTAGGGGTCCCCTATATGTGTAACCCCCCAAATGAGGCCCCACCGTGCACATGCACTCAGCCCAAACAAGGACAAGGCACTCGAAGCCCCGAATCCCAAGCACTCAGGGTTCAGGGTTCAGGGTTCAGGGTTTAGGGTTTAGGGTTTAGGGTTTAGGGTTTAGGGTTTAGGGTTTAGGGCAGCTTTCACTCAGCTTTCCCTCTCTCTCACCAGACACCCAACTGAACCTTGGGATGTTCCCCCTTATACTAACAGTTACTAACCGTCCTCAATAGGGAATCCTCATTCACATCCCAACTTAACCCCCAACAAGCCCCAAAAAAACAAGCCCTAAACCCCTCCCATGAAAGCCCCGCCCCGCCAGAAGCTGCCCAAAACAAGTAAACCCTAAACCCTAAACCCTAAACCCTGAACTCTGAACCCTGAACCCTGAACCCTAAACCCTAAACCCTAAACCTAAACCCTAAACCCTAAACACTCAACTCAATTGATCCGAGGCTACGCGCCGAAATCGGGGTGCACCCACCCACAAGCCTGCGATCTCGTCCGGGCTCAGTGGGGTGGCTCGCCTGGATCATGGGGGTTCAGACTCCCTAGGGTTTAGGGTTTAGGGTTTAGGGTTTAGGGTTTAGGGTTTAGGGTTTAGGGTCAATCTCTGAGTGCAGCAAGACTTCAGAAACGCAACGTCTCTCACCCTGCAAGGACCAATATGGGTACTGGCATATTGGTCAACCACTTCCGACCTCATCCACTAACAGGGTCTTACATTCTATATCCTCCTTGGGAAATATTTTTTAATGTTTTTGTTTATATAAAACCCAATGAGATATTGATATTATTTTTTATTAAGGTTCTAAGGGGAGTACAGCATTCCAAAGTGGTCCGATTTTGGGGCCAGGGGGCTCAGTCAGGCCGACCGCACCTGCTTCTGAAGGCCTTGACTCCCAGACCTTCACTCCGAAACCCTAACCCCGCCAGGAGTTTCCCGGAGGGACCCGAGGTGGCTACTTGGGTTTAGGGTTCGAGGTTCGGATTCTGACATTCTAAGAGCTCTCTGCCGCCCTTCACCACGCGGCTTGAATCCCAAAGAGTCCATGTGCACGTGTTTATTTAGTCACTGTCTTAAGCCGCGTTGAAGTCTGGAGTTAGATACTTCCCGAATTCTCTGAAATTTCTCTGTTAAGAAATCGTAAGTGAACTGATGCCATTCTTCGTCTAGTCTTGTCGCTGCGGAAACGCCAGCATGTGGCCGTTGACCATCCACAGTGTTGCCGGGTCGACATTTGAGCTTCATGTGGACGATGCGGAAACGGGGCTGGATGTGCGGAGACGGGTCGCAGGAAGTGTTGGCCTTTCCGCAGGGTCAATCGTGTTGACTTCGGGCGAGCGTCTCCTCGAACTGCACCAGCCGCTGCTGCGACAAACTCAAAACCAAGAGCTGACATATGTGGTGCGGAAATGTGGCGCAGGCTGCGCGGCACGCAGCATAAAGCGGGCATTAGAGAGGACAGGGGATCAAGACACGGATGCCATGGATGTCGCAGTTGCCTTGACCTTCGGCCGTGAATTCAACCAGAGTTTGGCAGGGGTGCGGCTTCCCTGCGGCCTACAGACCTTGACCCTCGGCTATGGTTTCAAGCAGACCTTGGAAGGTGTGCAGCTTCCCGGCGGCCTGCAGACGTTAACCTTCGGCGATCTCTTCCACCAGAGCTTGGCAGGGGCACAGCTTCCCAGCGGCCTACAGACCTTGACCTTCGACCATTGTTTCAACCAGAGCTTGGAAGGTGTGCAGCTTCCCAGCGGCCTACAGACCTTGACCTTCGGCTATGAGTTCAACCAGAGCTTGGAAGGGGTGCAGCTTCCCAGCGGCCTGCAGACCTTGACCTTCAGCCATCGTTTCAACCAGAGCTTGGAAGGGGTGCACCTGCCCAGCGGCCTACAGACCTTGACTTTCGGTCATAATTTCAATCAGAACTTGAAAGGGGTGCAGTTTCCCAGCGGCCTACAGACCTTGACCTTCGGCCATTGTTTCAACCAGAGCTTGGCAGGGGTGCAGCTTCCCTGTGACCTACAGACCCTGATCTTCGGCGTCACCTTCGACCAGAGCTTGGGAGGGGTGCAGCTTCCCAGCTGCCTACAGACCTTGACATTCGGCGATAAATTCAACCAGAGCTTGGAAGGTGTGCAGCTTCCCAGCGGCCTACTGGCCTTGACCTTCGGTCATGACCAGTGCTTGCAAGGGGTGCAGCTTCCCAGCGGCCTGCAGACCTTGACCTTCGGCCCTTATTTCAACCAGAGCTTGGAAGGAGTGCATCTTCCCAGCGGCCTACAGACCTTGACCTTCGGCTATGAGTTCAACCAGACTTTGGACGGGGTGCAGCTTCCCAGCGGCCTACAGACGTTGACGTTCGGCAATGATTTCAACCAGAGCTTGGAAGGGGTGCAGTTTCCCAGCAGCCTACAGACCTTGACCCTCGGCCATGAGTTCAGCCAGAGCTTGGAAAGGGTGCAGCTTCCCAGCGACCTACAGACCTTGACCTTCGGCCATTGTTTCAACCAGAGTTTGGAAGGGGTGCAGCTTCCCAGCGGCCTACAGGCCTTGACTTTCGGCTATCGTTTCAACCAGAGCTTGGAAGGTGTGCAGCTGCCCCGCGGCCTGCAGACCTTGACCTTCGGCCGTTTGTTCAACCAAAGTTTGGAAGGGGTGCAGCTTCCCAGCGGCCTGCAGACCTTGACCTTCGGCCATTGTTTCAACCAGAGCTTGGCAGGGGCACAGCTTCCCAGCGGCCTACAGACCTTGACCTTCGGCTACAAGTTTGTCCAGAGCTTGGAAGGGGTGCACCTGCCCAGCAGCCTACAGACCTTGACCCTCGGCTATGAGTTCAGCCAGAGCTTGGAAAGGGTGCAGCTTCCCAGCGGCCTACAGACCTTGACCTTCGGCTTTGAGTTCGACCAGAGTTTGGAAGGGGTGCAGCTTCCCAGCGGCCTACAGACCTTAACCTTCGGCGATCTCTTCAACCAGAGCTTGGCAGGGGCACAGCTTCCCAGCGCCCTACAGACCTTGACCTTCGGCAGTGATTTCGACCAGAGCTTGGAAGGGGTGCAGCTTCCCAGCGGCCTACAGACCTTGACCTTCGGCCATTGTTTCAACCAGAGCTTGGAAGGGGTGCAGTTTCCCAGCAGCCTACAGACCTTGACCCTCGGCCATGAGTTCAGCCAGAGCTTGGAAGGGGTGCAGCTTCCAAGCTCCTTACTGCGTTTCTCCTCGCGCAGGTTTGCCGTACACACCTCTTAAACTCTCAGGTCGCAAATGGAAGTTTGTTCCGGCGGGTCCTCCAGCGTTCCTCTCGTCTTAAGGCCCCTTTCGGGTTTAGGGTTTAGGGTTTAGGGTTTAGGGTTTAGGGTTTAGGGTTTAGGGTTTAGGGTTTAGGGTTCATGATCAGCCTCTCTGGGCCGCGGCAAGGGTGTTTTCTCCCGCTGGGTTTTTGCCTTGCCTGCGCAGGCGGCCTCTATGTAGGGTTTAGGGTTTAGGGTTTAGGGTGTAGGGTTTAGGGTTTAGGGTTTAGGGTTTAGGGTTTTTCGAAGGTTTTGGTTGCATTGTTATACATCTCAGAGGTGGGACTCCCACACAAGCTGGGAGACAGAAGGAATTTCAGGGTCTCAGGTTTCCTGAACTTTGTCCCTGGTAAGGCAGCTACAGACATATATGGCTACCCTTCTAAGTGCAGGCAAGTGAAGGTGGCAGTTGTTTTTTCTCGGAGCCCTAAACCCGAAACCCTATAATCAAACCCTAAACTCTGTGTGCGGGGGGCTCAAAATTGGCTTCGGTTTGAGGGTGTATATAGGATGGTTGTTTGATCCAAACTTACACATCCGTTTCTTTGTGGTGGACCACAGGAAATCGTTCTATGTAGTAGAGAGACCAACCAAGACGAACCCTAAACCCTCAACCCCAAAACCCTAAACCTGAACCCTAAACCCCAAACCCTAAACCCTACACCACCCAGACTTACAGAGAGGTCTAGACCCCCGGTCGGCGTTCCTGAGAAGGTACGTTTTGTTGGTGTACGGACGCGCCCATAACTAGCAAGTTCTAGGTCTAACTCTGGATGTAAGGGCTTAGGGCTTAGGGTGTAGGGTTTTTCGGTTTAGGGGTATCCGAGACGGTGGAGCAAAATCACAAACAGCAATCTGCAAGCGAAGATGTCAACCCCAAAAACCCTGTTGTTGAAGGGAAAAGAGCCCAGAAGCAAACACAATAACAGTAGTTTTGTACCAAGCCCTGAACCCCTGAACCCCTGAACCCTGCAAACGCTAGAAGACCTTAAGCCTAAACCCTAAACCTGAGACCCTTATCCCTAAACAACAACACACTCCCGGCCCTCGGCGCGCGAGTGAGGCGTCCTCACCGACTACTATCAGCAGAAGAAGATCAAAGCCATCGGCGGCTGGGGTCGTTGTTTGGATATCCTCTGCTGTAGTATATAGCTTTACAGAGCCCAAGTATATAGTGTGTAGGTATATGGGCCCTTAGGGTAATTATGGGCCTTTTGCGGGGACTAGATACGCAAATCATGGCATTGATTATGCTGTTTTTTGGAGCTTTCGATTGTCGGCAGTCAAAAAAAGATGATTGTAGTATGCATTCTTTGCCTTGCTACTATTCCTATTGTTTCTGTTAGTATTCCTAGTTTCTGCTTACCATGATGCTTATTCCGATTCTTGTTTCGATTGTGGGCCCCTTGAAGGGTCCCGGGTAGTTCTGTGGCGTCTTCGTAAACCGAGCCGGGCACGTGCTTCCTTCTCCCAGGGTTTTTCTAGGAGCGCCCTTGGGATATTGTACTATATGTTCCCTTGTTGGGTTTAAGAGGATCATATTTAGGGTTTAGGGTTTAGGGTTTAGAGTTTAGGGTTTAGGGTTTAGGGTATAGGGTTTATTTCAGAGGGTGTTGAGGGCCATCCTAGCCCCAGTTGCGCCCTTTCAATGTTGTCACTTCTTTGGGTTTTTACGGGGAGAGGTCTTAGGGCTTAGGGCTTTGACTAGGGTTTAGGGTTTAGGGTTCAGGGTTTAGGGTTTAGGGTTTAGGGTTTAGGGTGAACGTGTCGCTGGGGAACAGATTGGCCTAGTTGCGGTGGCCAGCACCAAGCACATCACGTGCGTACGTGGGCGCCCCAAAGTCAACCGTCTTGTTCGGGCTTCCAGTGGCCCTAAACCCTAAACCCTAAACCCTAAACCCTAAACCCTAAACCCTAGACCCTACAAGCCCTACAAACCCTACAAGCCCTACAAGCCCCACAACCAGCCACACTAAGGGCATGAGAGACATACAGCAAAACTCTGAACCTTGGGATGCTCCCCCTTATTATACTAGCAGTCCTGAATAGGGTTTGGGGTTTAGGGTTTAGGGTTTAGGGTTTAGGGTTTAGGGTTTAGGGGTACTAGAATCCCTAGTAAGGACTGTTAGTATCGGGGGAACGTCTCAAACTGAACCAGAAAAACTTAAGACTCTCGTGCCCTTGCGTGTTTGACCTGCTCCACTGCTGCAGGGTGGAGCAAGAAGCTTAATAGCTGAGTGAGTACGCGTTACACTTTTTGGGATACGATAATCTCTACAAAACTAAACTTGTACACTTTTGGGGGGGGCTTATGAACTCAGCAACTAAGGAAGTATCGCCCTAGCCGCCCCCGCAACAAGCCTTTGAGGCGTCTCGAACTACTGCCAAGCTTGCTTCCACTGCCTGGCCAATGTCACGGAGATGCCGATGGTGAACCAGGCCCACTGTAGGCCGTTTAGGACCCTAAACCCTAAACCCTAAACCCTAAACCCTAAACCCTAAACCCTAAACCCTAAACCGATATCTCAACTCCAAAGCACGAGCCGAACCTCAAGGTCGGCAAAACATGGTAGGATCGCCCCTCCGCAACCGCCATCCCCAACCCACCAACCCCCAACCCGCAACCACCCCCCGCCCCCCTAGGGTTTAGGGTTTAGGGTTTAGGGCTTAGGGCTTAGGGTTTAGGGTTTTTCATGTCTGCGCGGAATGAGACCTCCATGCTTGGAACGGGCAACCTGGGACGCTCGACCTAGGTACCTGAAACCCAAGCCCTGAACCCTAAACCCCAAACTCCCAAACCCCAAACTCTAAACCCCAAACCCTAAGCCCCAAACCCTGAAGTCCAAACCCTGAACCCTAAACCCCAAACCCGAAAATGGCCAGGTTCAGCTCCATGTGGGCATGGGTCCCTTGGATGCCCAACAAAAGAGCCCCAAAACGACTGAAGCTCCGCCAAAAGCCCCAGGTACCTAACCCTAAACCCTAAACCCTGAATCCTGAACCCTAAAATAGAAATATTCTTCCTTATAAGGGCAATATAGGGATTACTATTTTTCATTTTTGGGGAGTTCGTTAGCAAATAGTTGTTACTCAGATCCCCCTGAGCCTGCGGCTGTATGGAGGGGTTCAGGATCGGTTGGGAAGGAGTTGGCAGCAAAGACAGTGTTCTGGAACTGTTTAGTGCATTGTAGGGTAGCCTGCTTCTTCAAAGCCTTAAATCCTCAGACCCTTATCCCTTCAACCCTCAAACCCGATTAAATGCTGAAGGGGTTTATGAACCCCTTATAAACCCTTACCCCTTCTAAACCCTTATCAACCCTTATAGACCCCTTATAAAACCTGAACCCTCATAAACCCTTGTAAACGCTAAAGGGTTAAACCCTAAACCCTCATAAACCCTTGTAAACCCTAAAGGGTTAAACCCTAAACCCTCATAAACCCTTGTAAACCCTTGTAAACCCTAAACCCTTAACCTTATAAACCCCCTTATAAACCCTTAACCCTTATAAACCCTAAATCCTTGTAAACCCTTGTAAACCCTTGTAAACCCTAAACCCTTAACCCTTGTAATCCCTAAAGGGCTTTAGCGCTCGGGTTCTTTGGTTCGGGGAGCGAAGAAAGGTGAAAGCTAAGCCCTCGCCATGACGTGGCTTAGGGTTTGGGGTTTAGGGTTTAGGGTTTAGGGTTTAGAGTTTGGGGTTTAGGGTTTAGGGTCTAGGGTTTGGGGTTTAGGATTTGGGGTTTAGGGTTCAGGGTTTAGGGTTTAGGGTTTCGGGTTTAGGGTTTAGGGTTTAGTCTGGGTCCAAAAAGGGTTTAGGGTTTAGGGTTTTCGGATGTCGGGTGAAGGGTTTTTCGGAGTTGCCCAACAAGAGTCACTTGGTAGGCCTGTTATTTCCCCCCTTAGCTGGGTTTCAGAGGATCACGTTGAGGATTTGTTCAGAGGGTTTTTGAGGGCACTCTTTGGAGATCTAGACTAAGGGTCGCCTAGTTTCGTAAATCCCCATATGAGGGCGCTGTGGTGTGCATCTTGGTTTCGGCTAGGCCTCTTTTTTTTTTTTTTTTTTCTGGCGCGTGCCCCATGGCTTCGCAGGTTCGGATACTCCGTTTACCGTTTAGGGTCTAGGGTTGAGGGTTAGGGTTTAGGGTAGCATATGGGGCAGCTTTCATGGAGATGAGGGGCTTATGTCACACCTGCGCAAGCAAATCCGAAACATTGCTGGCCAGTATATACGCAGTTCTATCTCTAACCCTAAGCCCTACACCCCAAGCCCTAAACCCTGAACCCTGAACCCTGAACCCTAAACCCTAAACCCTAAACCCTAAACCCTAAACCCTAAACCCTAAACCCTAAGGGCCGGCCTGGTCTTTGTCAACACCACCGAACCAGCCCCAATCTTCCCTGCTTCAACTCCCACACTTTCTCCCGACAACCCCCTACTTGGAGGTTCAGGGTTTAGGGTTTAGGGTTTAGGGTTTAGGGTTTAGGGTTAAAACCCTTAAGGTTTAGGGTTGAGGGTACGCAGTAGCCAATTGTAAGTGTAGCTACAACCCACAGATAAGCCCCTCAAGTACCCGAACAGGGTTAGAATTGGTAAGTACAGTCATAATCGGGTTGCTAAGTACCATGAACCTCCCGGTACCGCACAACCCCTCCTCCCCTCAAAAACCCCTCCCTAAACCCTAAACCCTACGCCCTAAGCCCTAAACCCTAAACCCTAAACCCCAAACCCCAAACCCCAAACCCTAAACCCTCCTCCCCCCCAAAAAAAACCCTTGCGGCCTACAGGTAGCAATCCGCAGGGATTCCTCAGCTTTGCCGAAGCGAACAAGGTGGTCCTTCAGGCGATTTCCCCTAAACCCTAAAGCCTCAACCCTAAACCCTAAACCCTAAACCCCAAACCCTAAACCCTAAACCCTACACCCCAAAGAGTTCTTGAGGGCTCAGGGTCCTGGAGCCATCTTTGGGTGAGAGCTTCCACTTTCCATCACCTTCTAAGCCTGGGGATGCTCCCCTAACAGTCTTTTTTGGGGGGAGGAGGGTTTAGGGTTTAGGGTTTCGGGTTTAGGGTTTAGGGTTTAGGTTTAGGGTTTAGTAGCCCCATTAAAGTCCCTATTAAGGGCTGTTAGGATAAGGGGGCAACATCCCAGCATGAGCCTCTTAAGCTGCCATCGAGCGGGATACCAGCTGCAAGCTAACACGCACACGTATTCAGAGCCGCCAGTCCCTCATATGTATATATATATATATATCTTCATATTTATCATTAGTATTCTTCTTATTATGATTATTATTGTGATATGTACATCCGCAGCTATTTGGGGTCAAGTGCCAGAACACAAAGTTGTTTGTGAAAATCCTTCGCCTCGGCGCATACCGTAGGCGCCGCTCACGCTGGCATCGGTATGCGCTACTCGCGTCCTTGCCTTTTCATCGCAGCAGCAGCCCCTTAGTAGAGTAGGTAAGTGTTAACTCTTTTGGGTTCTTGTATCCAATGTCTTCCCTTTATAACCCCAGAGGTTAAACCTTTAGCTCCCCTAGGATACTGGGCAACGGTAACGAAGGTCCAGTGCTGCTTGGCGGCCAGATATGCGCACGAAGGTCACGCCGGCGCAAACGATACTCTTCGGACTTTAACCTGGCTCTCTCGGGACTTCAACCTTTTGGGCTTTTGAAGCAATGATTATGATTCTTTGTATGAATCAAAGAATGCAAATCATCCAAGAAGTTCGAGTGTATGTAATGAAGACATATGGTGTCCGGTGGAGGGATTTGCGTACGTTCGGGAAGGAATCGGGAATAGATTTTCCTCTCAATAGTATGGACTCATATTGTTCTTCATTTGGCAACTACAAGAAGGAGCCTAAATGTTAGAATTATAGGAGGGTTTTCAGAAGTCAGCCAAGGATACCCTGCAGCTGGAGCTCGATGCCCAGGGCTCCAAGTGCGACAGTTTCCTCGCTAAGCAAGCTTGGTAGCCCAGTGGTATACTTTTTTGTTGTTTGCCCTAGGTAGGGTTTAGGGTTTAGGGTTTTGGGTTTTGGGTTTGGGGTTTGGGGTTTGGGGTTTGGGGTTTGGGGTTTGGGGTTTAGGGTTTAGGGTTTAGGGTTCCCTTGTTCCAAGAAACCACCCCAGAAAGGGTAGTTACCCTTGTTATCATATGGTTACGGCGCTAACAAGGCAGATGAAGGAGACTTTCAACGCCAAGGGTCGGTGCCAGGACCAGAACGAGCTCGACTACGTGAACCCAGCTGGCGTCGCCGATGTGTTGTACATCTACCCAAAAGAGGATCACAACGGTGCCTTCTCAATGTGCTCCTCAGGGGGTATTGACCCAAGCGTTTGCTTCCGCCTCGTGAACATGGCGCACCACTACTCCGTTCACTTCGTGCGTGTGGCCTCCGTGCAGGAGGCCACCACCTACGTAAGGTCGCTTCCACCCACGGTGAGGCTGAAGCATGTCGTCCTCGGTGGGCATGGTGATCCAAGATCCTTGGCGTGGGGAAGTGCCTTACTTCGCCTTTAGTTGAACTTTATACTTTTGGGTTTCCTTAGGTTTCCTTATTTAGTAGGAATATTAAAGTTGAACCTTTTGGTCCCCTTGTTTATTGGAGAAGTAAGGTGCGGGCAGCGAAACCGCCACAGTGATGCCCGAGCTGCGGGTCGACGACCCGGCGACGCGTGAGTTTCTCGACGCGCTCTACCCACACCTCACAGTTGCTTACTTCGCCTTTAGTTGAACTTTATACTTTTTGGGGTTTCCTTATTTAGTAGGAATATTGAAGTTTAACCTTTTTTTCCCCCTTGTTTGTTGGAGAAGTAAGGTTGATGGTGAGGACCGAAGGCGCTCCACCGTCTTCTTGGATGCCTGCTTGAATGGCAAGCCGGTGAAGGACAAGAATATGTTACTCTTCGTCGCACACAAACTGGCAGGTGCCGAGGTGTTTGCATCGAAGATCTCCTTTGACAACGACCAGTTTGTGCTTGACAACTACTTGCATTTCAACGCGCACATTATGAGCAACTGGGTCTTGGAGTACTATACTTTAATACTTTTTTTGGTTCTGGGTTCCTATTATAGTTACTTATACCTAGAAAGTATATACTTTTTTTTCAGGGTCTACTCCAAAGCTAAGGCAAGAAGGAGGACAAAATGGTTAGCACCGTCTTCCACCAAGGCCTCCGTGAATTGCAGTTCCATCCACACCGAGCTTCTATACCCCCCCCCTTGGGAATTATTTTGCTCTTTTGCTTATATGCCCTTAAAGGAGATTAAACATAGTGTTTTTTTTATTAAGGTTCTAAAGGGAGTATAGGCTTGCAAGAGCAAGCGGTTCGTGGCTGCTGCCCAGACCATAGAGACATGTGCCCAGCTGTGCCAAAACGCCGGCGAGTCGTGCGCGGCCTTCACCTTCTTCCCGCAAGGCAATGCGCGAATCAATCAGGTGTGCTATCACAGCAGCTTGGCTGCTAAGTAGCTATATCTACAGTATCTATTGTATAAGAAGGCAATTATCGTAAATGATCTAGTACCATATGAATGCTACACTATTATGCGTGGCCAACTTTTAGGGGCCGGGGCATCCGCGACACGTGCCTCTGGACTTGTACTATGTGCTAAACCATGTGGGGCGAGGGTTTAGGGTCTAGGGTTTGGGGTTTGGGATTTGGGGTTTGGGATTTGGGGTTTGGGGTTTGGGGTTTAGGGTTGCTGGCAGCTTAGGAGGCCTTTTGATAGCCTAGAATTCACACCATCAGACGATCAGCGAGACCCCAGGAAGGGGATCCAACTTTTGTGAAGAGCCCGATGCACCCTAAACCCTAAACCCTAAACCCTAAACCCTAAACCCTAAACCCTAAAACTTAAACCCTAAACCCTAACCCTAAAAACTAAACCCTAAACCCTAAACCCTGTGGAGCATTGCTAGACGGGTGGCAAAAAAGCCCTAAACCCTAAAAAGGTCCAGCATGCACGAGCATGAAGAAGTCACGCAAGGGAGCCATGGTCTTCCGCAAGGACGGGGACTGCTTGGGGTTTAGGGTTTAGGGTTTAGGGTTTAGGGTTTAGGGTTTAGGGACTTAGTATGGTCCCTTACCGCCTGGCCCTTGGGTTGTGCAGGGTATATAAGAGGTAATTGCATGAGGGGTCCTTTTTTTGGGGCCCCATACAAATCTTGGTGTTTGGGGGGTGTGGAGAAGGGTTGCGAGTTGCGACTGTGGAGTGGCAGGGTTTTAGGTTTGGTCCTTGGCAGCTGCTTCAGATCTTGGGTAATTTAGGGTTTAGGGTTTAGGGTTTAGGGTTTAGGGTTTAGGGTTTAGGGTTTAGGGTTTAGGGTTTAGGGTTTAGGGTTTAGGGTAATTTGTCTATGGGCCTTTCTTCTTGGGGTTGAGATGGCCTCACTGATTCTTCATCACTGAACATTGCGGTGCCGTTGCCCCTGTCTAGAGGGATTAGGGCCCTAAACCCTAAACCCTTAAACCTAAACCCTATAACCCTAAACTTTAAACCCTAAATCCTAAACCCTAAACCGGGTTGCCAAGCCCCACGAACCCATGAACAGGGCAGCTGCGCTGTTGTTTGGGATGTTCCCCCTTCTACCAAAAGTCTTTCATTAGGGTTTAGGGATTAGGGTTTCGGGTCTAGGGGTACTGTAATCCCTATGAAGGACTGTTAGTATAAGGGGGAAACCCTAAACCCTAAACCCTAAACCCTAAACCCTAAACCCTGAACCCTGAACCCTAAACAACCGAGTGTTGAAGAGGCCACGCTGACGAACTGTTTTGCCGGGGGGCTGAGGGTTGTTGGTTCCGGGCTTCAGAGACCGGATGCAAGAAAGGGTTTGGGGTTCTAGGGTTAGGGTTTCGGGTCTAGGGTTTAGGGTTTTTTTTGGGGTTTGGGGTTTAGGGTTTTTTTTGGGTTTTAGGGTTTTAGGGTTAGGGTTTCGGATCTAGGGTTTAGGGGTTTTTTGGGGTTTGGAGTTTGGGGTTTGGGGCGTAGGTTCGTCAGGCGACGGAGGAGGCCGAGGAAGAAGACGACGACACGGACGAGGAGGACGAGTGAACAGCTGCGCATTTCAAAGCCGCTGAAGCCGCAGTGACAATTTTGAAAGAAGCTGGCGTGGGGATTATGGGGTTTGGGGTTTAGGGCATTAGGGTTAGGGTTTAGGGTTTAGGGTTTAGGGTTTCGGGTTTCGGGTTTAGGGTTTAGGGTTACACATGTGGAGGCTGATCCCATCAATGAGGCCTTTGTGGGGTCTCCAGCGTAGTATGCTTCTTATAGCTGAGAATCGCAAAACGGTACAACCCTAAACCCTACACCCTAAACCCTAAACCCTAAACCCTAAACCCTAAACCCTAAACCCTAAACCCTAAACCCTAAGCCACCGTTAAAGGGGACCGGGGCATCCATCACGGCCCCAACTCTGACCTAGTCGTTCTATGCCCTTCAGATTTCAAGTGGAGATTTAGTGTCTCTGGGTTTAGGGTTTAGGGTTTAGGGGTTGTGGGGGGCTTCAGGGGGGGGGTTTAGAGTTAATCCCGTCACCTTACATACACTCTGATCCGACTATACTGGGAGTATTTAATGTTTGGGGGGGGGGTGCTGAATTTTAGGGGACAGGATTAGGGGGTTGAAGATTCCGGTGTTTAGGGGCCCGGATGCGTGTGTGGGGCTCGCGGGGGTTCGGGAGGGGGAGGGCGGAGATTCTTGGGGGGTTCATGATATAAACCCTAGAGTGTGGTTCCCTACCCTAAACCCTAAACCCTAAACCCTAAACCCTAAACCCTAAACCCTAAACCCTAAACCCTAAACCTCTCTTTCATATATAATTTAAATGTTAAGGAGTTACTGGGCAAGGTCGCCGTTTTACTGGGCAAGGTCGCCGTTTTACTGGGCAAGGTCAGTTCGGTCAAAAAAATCGACCTTGCCCAGTAAAACGGCGACCTTGCCCAGTGAAACGGCGACCTTGCCCAGTAAAACGGCGACCTTCCGCCCCTGCCCAGTAAACATGCGACCTTGGACCTCGAAGGTCGCCGTTTTACTATGCAAGGTCGCCGTTTTACTGGGCAAGGTCGATTTTTTGACCAAAATCGACCTTGGCCAGTAAAACGGCGACCTTGCCCAGTAAAACGGCGACCTTGCCCAGTAAAACGGCGACCTTCGGGCCCGAAGGTAGCATTTTTTCTGGGCAGGGGGGGGGTGTCCGAAGGTCGCCGTTTTACTGGGCAAGGTCGCCGTTTTACTGGGCAAGGTCGCCGTTTTACTGGGCAAGGTCGCCGGTTTACTGGGCAAGGTCGCTGTTTTACTGGGCAAGGTCGCCGTTGTGCTGGGCAAGGTCGCCGTTTTACTGGGCAAGGTCGCCGTTTTACTGGGCAAGGTCGCTGTTTTACTGGGCAAGGTCGCCGTTTTACTGGGCAAGGTCGCCGTTTTATTGGGCAAGGTCGCCGTTTTACTGGGCAAGGTCGCTGTTTTACTGGGCAAGGTCGCCGTTTTATTGGGCATGGGCAAGGTCGTTCTAATTAAAATATTTTCTTAAAGTTGTGGGATTCTTTGGGCGGGTGGGTATTTTCCTGGAGTATTTGCTTGACTAGTGAATGCTTGGACTTGAGATGCTGAACCCTAAACCCTAAACCCTAAACCCTAAACCCTAAACCCTAATTAAACCCTAAACCCTAAACCCTAAACCCTGCGCTCTCTGAACCCGTGGGGCAGGCCTACAGCCCTTTTGGCAGTGGTGGCCATGGCTCCTCTGAGATCCTTGCAGGCGGCGGGCCTTTTGGGCTCAGGGAGTTTAGGGTTTACGGATTTAGGGGCTAGGGTTTAGGGGTTTAGGGGTTTAGGGGTTTAGGGGTTTAGGGGTTTAGGGGTTTAGGGGTTTAGGGGTTTAGGGGTTTAGGGGTTTAGGGGTGTAGGGGTGTAGGGGTGTAGGGGTGTAGGGGTTTAGGGGTTTAGTGGTTTAGGGGTTTTTGGGTTTTTGGGATTTTGGGATTTAGGGGTTTAGGGGTTTAGGGGTTTAGGTTTAGGGTTTAGGGGGGTTCAGGGATTTAGGGGTTGAGGGTTTAGTTTAGTGGTTTAGGTATTGAGGGTTGAGGGTTTAAAGGTTTAGGGATATAGGGGTTGAGGGTTTGGTCTAGGAGTTTGGGGATTTAGGGGTTTAGGTGTTTAGGGGTTTAGACAATTTCGGGCTTTAAGAGTTTCAGGGCTTCAGAGTTTTGGGTTTTGTGGGGATTTAAGGGATACTGGGTTTAGAGCCCAGTAAGGGCCAAACCAAAGAACCCTGGGCCCTAGACCCTAAACCCCGGGGTACAGGCACAGCAACATTCTGCCCTAAACCCTAAACCCTAAACCCTTAACCCTAAACCCTAAACCCTAAACCCTTGATTAAGACTTCCTCATCCCGAAGCCTTCCCGAAAAAGATCAAGCCGCTGAGATTGTACTTGGAGGTTACTCGTACGTAGCAACCCACGAAAAGTACGCAGATATCACCCAGCAGCTATAACCCACAGATAAGCCCCTTATGTACCCTAATAGAGTTATAGTAATAATTACTAAGTACCATGAGCCTCCGAGTAGCCCTAAACCCTAAACCCCAAACCCTAAATCCTAAACCCTAAAGTAGAGGCGAGAGCCCAACCGAATCCTAAGCCTAAGCGCTGTGAGTTTTCAGGCAACCTGACGACATCCATTGGCGCGAAGTACAAGAAGTCTGCAGCGCAGGCTTGCGGGTCTGGGACCCTAAACCCTAAACCCTAAACCCTGAACCCTGAACCCTGAACCGTAAAACCCTGAAACCCTAAAACCCTAAAACCCTGAAACCCTAAACCCTAAACCCTAAACCTTTAGGGCTTGGGGAAGTTTAGGGCTTAGGGTTTCGGGTCTAGGTCGCCCTCAGCACATTTGTAGAGGGGCGTAGGGTGCTTTGCACGAGTATCGTTGGTGCCCACACAAGCCTTTTGCCGACCGGAAGCTTAGGGTTTCGGGTTTAGGGTTCAGGGTTTAGGGTACTTAGTATCCCATTTAAGATGTAGTTATACCCCATATATGAGCACCCTACTTGGGCTATAATTGGGTGATAAGTACAGTGTTTATTGGGTTACTAGGTACCATGAACCTCCAAGTCCCGTCCGTGCGTCTTGGATGGCTTGCGTGTCGTTGGGGTCCTGCTGGAACCTCAGAGGGTTTAGGGTTTAGGGTTTAGGGTTTAGGGTTTAGGGTTTAGGGTTTAGGGTTTAGGGTTTAGGGTTTAGGGTGCAGGGTTCAAGTTTTCCATAGCTTGGCCATCCCGAATCCCAAGGTGGCACTGAAGTGGATTGCATCCCGCAACGTTGGCATTGCGACAAAGTCTGCCAGCAAGGAGCACTTGAAGGCGGGCAAGGGAGGTTTGGACTAAGACGCTTTTTCAAAGCCAACGTCTCAGGGTTTAGGGTTTGTAGCTGCAGTGCCCTGCTGCGCAGCTAGTGTACTTTCCGCAGACTCAGATGTTTCGGCCAAGCGCCGGCACATGTTGACTGAGACAAGACTGCATTTCTTAATCCCAGATGCCGAGAGTAGGCTGCCCAGCACAAACCCTAAACCCTAATTAAATCCTAAACCCTAAACCTAAAATCCTAAACCCTAAACCCGACCACACTTGGATGGGTTTGGGGCTAAGGTTTGTAAAGTCTGCGATGTAGGGCCTCAAGCCTCTTGAAGAAGAAGGCTTTCCTTCATTTCAGGGTTTAGGTTTTGGGTTTAGGGTTTTGGGTTCAGGGTTTAGGATTTAGGGTTTCGGGTTTAGGGTTACATCGGTTGTTGGGAGCATCCATGCGCTATCGAAGCCGGAAGCCCTACTAATGAAGCCCCAAATCCAACTTGGGCTTAGTGCTTTTTAGGGTTCAGGGTTTGATGTAGGCGAATCTCCCGCGCTTTGTCTCCCAACTTTCTTCTTCCCCGTGTGGATTGACCCCCCCCCCCAAGACCTTCACTATCCAAGACACACAAGGCCAGCTCTCCGCATTGATGTTCCATTGAAAGGGTCCCCCTGAAAACGGACCCCTTTGTTTCGAGAACTACACCCAAGTCCTAAACCCTAGACCCGAAAACCTACGAACCCTAAACCCCACTCCTGCAGCCTTAGAGGGGCTAGGTTTTGGGGCCCAGGTCGGCAGATTTACCCTAAACCCTAAACCCGAAACCCTACAGCTTGCAGGCCAACGCAGACATCTTCGATTTCAAACTCAGCGATGAGGACATGGCCAGCTTGGACGCGGCGACCTTTGCGGCGGAGGACTTGGGGGGTTTTATTTAGGGTTTAGAGTTTGGGGTTTAGGGTTAGGGTTTAGGGTTTAGGATTTAGGGTTTCGGGTTTAGGGTTTCGGGTTTCGGGTTTAGGGTTTAGGGTTTAGGGGCCGAGAGGCTCACGGGCTTATGTGTGAAGGGTTCATAGGGCTTGGAGGGCCCTAAACCCTAAAGCGCCAAGTCCGCGGAGGGGCCGCAGGAAAGCAGTGAGCAGGGGTTAGGGTGTAGGGTTTAGGGTTTCGGGTTTAGGGCCTCGGCAGGTTTAGGGGGCTGAGTCTTGGGAACATCAACTTTTTCACAGGGGGCGCAAGCCCTGACCTAAACCCTAAACCCTAAACCCTAAACCCTAAACCCTAAACCCTAAACCCCAAACCCCAAACAGCAAAGCCGAAGGACACGCCCTCTTTCCTCTGCAACGACCCGGCGCCGTCTGCGGCGGCTGGCCTTAGTACCTAAACCCTAAACCCTAAACCCTGGGGTTTAATGGAATATAGGGGGTCGCAATAATTACTAATGGTATTCCCTTATGGCCCCTTTAGAAACAATACTACAACAACCCCTCCAGAACCCTATTCTAATTATTCAGGCCCCTTTTTTATCGGGTTCACTTCCCCAAAAAACAGTCCCGTTTGGGTCAGCAACTAAAAGCGTGTTGTAGGGTTATGGAGGTGGTTGAAAATCCCTTCTTCGTAATCAAACCCCTCACCCCGTGCCCCCCTCCCACAAGACAGATGATGTGGGCACATTGAGAGATTGCGAAGTATTGAACCGGGGTAGAGGGAACGGGGGTGGGGGGGTGGGCGGGGGCTAAGATGGGAGGAGGCGACTATTCGTGTTGGGAATGCAGTGTAAGAATTCATGCACGTCGTGCCACAGAATGGTGCGTGCTTGATGTACAGTACGGATGCTTGAACCTGATTAGTTGAGCCCTAAACCCTAAACCCTTATCCCTAAACCCTAAACCCTAAACCCTAACCCTAAACCCTAAACCCTAAACCAGCTTCTACTGGTGTATGTGTTCTAGCGCACTCTTCTTGCAGCAAGGAGCTGCGGTGCTTAGGCAGAACTTCGGGGTGCAGGGGTTTAAGGGTTTAGGGTTTCGGGTTTAGGGTTTAGGGTTTAGGGTTTAGGGTTTTTCCCAGGTCGCGGGCGGGAAGTAGCAAACTGAAGGCATGGATGATCCGAACAACAACCTCCTGGACGAAGATTGTTCTCTCTAAAGCAGCCCCTCCACCTCAACGCAAGAAAACGGTCAGAGCCCTTTGAACATAATTATAGTTGCTGTTGAGGGCTCACATTGTTGCCAGTGCCAGTTCTTAGGGCAGCAACTGATCAGTACCTTAGGGTCCTGTTTCGTGTCTCGGTCTTCTGTGGGGTCCTCGGTTTTCCGGATGGTTGTTTAACATGGGTTGGGGTTGCCATGGTTACTGTAGGAATGTCACACCAACTTCCACCGCACTGCCGACGAAAGATTTGAGGGTGTTGGGGCACATTTCGCCAGGATGGACTGGCTGGTTCTTAGTAGGGAATGAGGGAATGAGGTACCCTACGTACTCTTTTAGAGGACCCTAAACCCTAAACCCTAAACCCTAAACCCTAAACCCCTTAAACCCTACACTCTACACCCTGAATCCCTGCACTGAGGCAGCGGTCCAGAGAGTTGTGGTGTGACCACCGAGGCGCCAGGCACGCCCACCCACCCCCCCCCCCCCCCCCCTCCTCTGCGCGTCCTCATGCCTACAGTCATGCCCAGAGACTTCAAAACCCCTTAATTAAGGAATAGACCTTATAAGTCATATTAGGAACCCTAAAATGACTTAAGGTCTATTCCTTAATTATGGGGTTTTTGGAGTCTCTGGGTGGGTTCCCCTACTAGCCCCCTCCATACTACCCTCCCCGAGGTTCCCCCCATAGTTAAGGGTATTTAACGATGATTATGCCTAACTAGGGTGAGTTCTGGACTCCGTTTCTTCACCAACACCAGCAACCACTTCTGAGAGAAGAGTCTGTACCTTGTCTTTGTGAGAAGCGTGGAAAAAACATTGTGACGCTTTATTTCTTGGCCAGAACGGCGAAATACGGTGGCTTATTTGCACCGCAAGCCTTGGTGCAATGGAGCATTTAGGGTTTAGGGTTTAAGTACACAGCTCAGGGTTTCGGTGCAAAGGGAGACAAAGATACGCACATACTGTTCACGTACATAAAGGAACGGTATCATGATAATAGCAAATTAGTAGAATGGCTTGTAATCGGGCTCTGGGCCGGGACACTGCACCTTCTGTGAACAGGCCTCAGCATCGTGCCCGCGGTCCTCCCGCGAGTAGCTTTGCCCCCGGGGGCACCGCTGAAGCTGTGCCCGTGCACTTGGCTCGGGTCAGACTCAGACACAGCAATGTTTTCAGCGTGCGCCAAGAAAAATGCTGGCATGTTTGAGCTATCCCTAAACCCTAAACCCTAAACCCTAGACCCCGTGTGAAGGGCTCAGCAGGGCTCAGCTTTTATCACTCGAAGCCCGTTGCTAAGGGAATGCGGAGAATTGCTGGACGGTCGATGTGACCTCTCCGTAGTTGCGGGGTTTCTCCCAGTCAAGTTGCCCTACAACCAGGCCCCACTTCCAGGTTCTTTCAGGTCCTTTACTAAGTAGGCCCTTGGGACATTTGTTATTTTCCCTTTTTGGGTTGAAGAGGATCATATTGTGAGTATTGAAAAGGTTTTAAAAGCCATGACGTCCAAGACCGCTGTTGAATCTGTAGAACGGCACTGACTCACTCGCCGCCGCCAGCTCCAAAGGGATTGGTTCAAAAGCGCTGTCGTATTCGCATCGCAGACCCAGAGCGATTTGCGATGCCCACGTCATGGACGTGTCACGAGATCAACGTGGAGAAGGCACCTGGCTTGTTCGAGTTCTCGACAAAAAATCATGGATTGTGAGTCAGAATTAGCATCCATGTGCCTCATATTTGTCGTTTTGGGTTCGGATGTCACCTGTGATGATGCAAATGGGTGGTATTTACCACTACCTTGTGTATTTGTATGTTGTGTCAGTATCATGAACCCATGATAAATCACTTAATGTGATATTTAACTTACGTGTATTATTATTACTATTATTTGTATAATTTTTGTTATTGTTGTTTGTTTATTGCTGTGTTTGGTTCTCTGTATTCGTTTGTTGAACATGCACCGCTGTTTGTGCATTTGATATCATCGTTGTATCTGATGCTTGAGCCATAGTAGGCTCCTACGTGTAATGACTTGTTGTTTCTTATGTCGCTCGGCCCTCCTTGCTTACGAGATAGTTCTGGCACTTGCGGGGCACATGGCTGTCAAGCGCCTGTGCTTGTTCTAGTATCCCCGAGAAGGCCTTGGCAGTTTTGCCTGTCAACGCCTTCCGTTCCCCTAAACCCTAAACCCGAAAACCCTAAGCCCTAAACCTTAAACCCGAGGTCTGTGGCTCTGGCGACAGCTTCATCATACGCAACAACATCCGATCAAGCCCTGCAAACGCAGAGAGGACCCCTGCTGCATGCTGGACTCGCACCCCTGTAGCTTGTAGGGGTTTAGGGTTTCGGGTTGAGGGGTTAGGGTTTAGGGTTAGGGTTTAGGGCTTAGGGTTTAGGGTTTACTGTAGGTAGGGTTTCGAGTTTGGTGGCCTTGTCTGCGTGCTCGCAGCTGCCCTGGGGCTCGCCTGCTTGAGTTTCAGGGGTTTAGGGTTTAGGGTTTAGGGCTTAGGGTTTAGGGTTTAGTTGGTTTCCTCAGAGGTGTCGGCATACATGCTCGCCTTGCTTTGACAGTGGGGTGCGCGTGTGCGAGTGGCACTTGTCTTCTTGGATGCAGAGAGTTCGTCCCAGGCAGGCAGTACAGCAGTCCTAGCCGTAAAAAAGGGTTTAGAGTTTAGGGTTTGAGGGTTTCAGGTTTGGTGGCTTTTCGGGCCTGCCAAACCAGGTCCCGTGATCAGCTGCCAAGCCCAACAATTCAAGGCTTAGGAACGTTTAGGGCTTCGCACGGGTTGAGAAAAGGGATAGTTCAGGGTCTGGGGTTTCGTGGAGCCATATGGCGCCACCAGTTTTCTTTGGATTAACGGAGTAAGGGAGGGACCCTTACAAGGGACCTTAGGGGTTATTTGGGGGCTACTTAGGTAGAAAGGCACTACAAGGCATGCGCTGAGTTTGGGCAAGCTTTTTCTTCTGTGGGGTCCCTACAGATCAAGCCTTCTGTGTTGCAGAGCGGGACCCTATATCCTGAACCCTTACTAAACCCTATGTAAACCCCAAACCCTAAGCTATCCTCAGAGCGGGGCTCGCTGTGAGCGTAGTGCTCAGTTCAAGCTGTAAACCTGAGTTTTTTGGGGACGGTGGGGGGGAGGCGAAAAACGCAGTAGACGACCATGGAGACCGAGAAAGAGTCCATAATGCAGATCAACCCGCACAGTAAACGAACCTCAATTCCAAACCTGCAGAATCCATGCAATCGCCCCCAACCCCAAACCCCAAACCCTAAGCCCTAAACTCTAAACCCTAAACCCTAAACCCTAAACCCTAACAGGACCTGCCTTCGAGGCGTTAATCTTGGAGGCCACGCGCAGAAAGTTGCGGTGAGAGGGTCGAAAAGAAGCAGAACCTTCAATCTGCAGGGTTTAGGGTCCAGGCTTATTTTATATACATGTGTTTATGTCTAGTTATATTTATATATGCACACACACATATACATATATATATATATATGTATATATTGTTTTTTTTTTTTGGCGGGGGGGGGGGGGGGGGGTTGTATTTTGATGCTCAAGGGCACCCTTAAGCCTATGGCTTGGAGTAGGTAATTATGTAGCGTGGGGGAGATTTCCTTGAGGCAATCCTTCCTTGGCTTGTGTGGCCGGACGAAAGTGCCGGCAAGGAATCTTAACCCTAAACGCTAAACCCTCCTGGTGACCTCACTATGCGTTGCAGGTTGGCTGGTTCTGGAGAAGTGGATGTCGCCGGACCTTTTTGAATCAGCTCCTTCAGCCGCCCGGCCCGACAACCTCAGGCGTGCAGTTTAAGGTCTAGGGTCTAGGGTTCAGGGTTTAGGGCTTAGGGTTTAGGGTTAAGGGTTGCAGGTCACGCGTATCGTCATCTTGGTACTTTGGAGGTCTTGGGGACGCTTTCGGGCGCTTACCTGAGCCCACCCTAAGCCCTAAACGTAAACCCTAAAGCCGACACCCTACACACTAAACCCTAAACCCTGAAACCTGAACCCTGAACCCTGAACCCTTCACCCTAAACCCTAAACCCTAAACCCGAAACCCTAAACCCTAAACCCTGAACCCTCAACCCTAAACCCTAAACCCTAAACCCTAAACCCTAAACCCTAAACCCGAAACCCGAAACCCGAAACCCGAAACCCTAAACCCTAAACCCTAAACCCTAAACCCCAGCCCAGGCAGAGGACGAATGGGCCCTGCTCTCTTCCGGAGGAGCTGAAGCACGCGCGCGCCTCAGACCAGCTGCGCATTCTTCCAGGATGCCCAGCAGCCCCCTTATTCCTTCTTTTTTTTTTTTTTTTGGAGGGTTTAGGGTTTAGGGTTTAGGGTTTAGGGTTTAGGGTTTAGGGTTTAGGGTTTAGGGTTTAGGGTTTAGGGTTTAGGGTTTAGGGTTTAGGGTTTAGGGTTTTGGGTTTATTCATTTTTTTGGGGGGGCGGAGGGGGGAGGGGTCAGGTCCGGTTCCCTTATCAAGATCCTTTAGAGCAAAAAAGATGGGACTCTTTCTCGATCCTGGGTTCCTGGGCAAGCTTTTAATCTCAGCTAGCTGTACCCTGCCGGGTTGGGAAATATGACCTCTCAAAGGGCTCTTTGTTTGATAATCCTGAAAGGGGATGTATCGGATTATGGAGTCGAGGGTTCCCAGTTGGGCCTCTCATTGGCAATCGTTGAACATGCGATTCGAGCTTCTGAGGGGAGGACGGGCAGTCTCGGGCTAGTGGCCTTGGGCACCCTAAAGTACAGGGAAAATGTAGTGTACTGGAGGCACCAAGAAACAGGCCCACAATTGAGATCACCCCGTCCCCCTCCCCCTCCCCCTCCACCCCAGTACTCTAAGAAAACACAAAACCCCAAGCGTCAAGCACGGGATGTGCAGATCGCTTGCCTTGCCTAATGCGACAGTAAACGCCCCTAAACCCTCAAGCCTTCTGGACTCTCAGCCCTGAGCCCTTCGTTGAACCCTCTGCGAGCGCTTCTCGTCTTGAGCGAGCATGGCCTCTTCTTCTCTGGTACCCCCGAACCCTGAAAAGATGGCAGGTCATGTAACAGGCAGGCCCCCCTAGTAAACATGAAGCCCCAACCTGCAAAAGGCTCATCACAGCCCTGGAGCAGCTAGACGGGTGGCAAAAACAGAACTGATAACCCTGAACCCTAGAATTGGCAAGGATGTGTTTAGGGTTTAGGGTTTAGCAGCTCCCTAGTACACCCGGAACCCCAAAAAAGACTGCTGGAAGGTGCTGCAGTCAGGGAGTTCAGAAGAACTTTCATTACAGAGCAGGACCGGGCCAACAGTGAACCTATTAAACCCTAAAACCCTAAACCCCACAAGATGCTCATGGATGCCTTCTAGTTCTTAGGCTTGTTGCATGAAGGTGTCGGCAGTGAGCAGTGCGTCGGTTTTGCAACGACTCTTGTGACCTGTTTGAGTTCGCG